TGTGAACCTAAGTGGCAATCGTTTTTATTTGTACACTATATATAAATGTACTTAAGATACCTTTATGCTTTTCAATAATCAATGTAATAATTCTAAGAAGATTTGGCAAATAAATATTATTATTATTATAACAGAATCAATGTGTACCTTATCATGAATATTGTACCTTCTAAAAAAACAATCTGAAGAATATCATCCTGTATTGCAACCGACTATCCCCCATAACGAAATTGTTGGTGGAGGCACGAATACTGATGACAGATCTGTTGTCAGAGAGGTGTTTATTGATCAAACTTTTTGAGGTGAATTTTGGAGTTTGCGAAACACATCTTAGATATGGCTGAGCTTCGTACGAAACTGGCCGACAAGGCTTTGGTGGCGATACCTCCGCCTCCATCAAAATTCACTTTGAGCGAATGGTACTTGAATAATCGATATAGAAATAGAATATGCCTGGACCAACAAAAACTAGCGGATTCCATCATAGCCGAAAGCGACAGATACATCGACGAAGTCCAAGAAAAGACAGACCTCAATAAGCGCGAAGTAGACCACAAGCTTACCGAAAAGCTCAAGGACATAGAATTCAATAAAGGCGAAATCGAAAAGCAACGAAAAGAAGTCTTCATTGAAATCGACAATTTGAACACATTCATGGAAAGGATAAAGGATTCTTTGAACGCTCTAAATGAAAACGCTTTGAAAAATGTTAGAAAGTGTCTCATTCTGAGAGAGGGACGACTCGGAATAGACTTGTGCTATGATAATGTAGAGAAACAATTGAAGAAGGAGCTGCAGGTTATTGAGGGTGGTCGTAGTCTGCTGAATAGGACCTTAGAGCAAAGCAATGAACAGGTAAGTTCTTTTCTGGGAATTTAAATGACATGTTCGTCGATTGAGTTTAGTGTGTTTACTAAAAAAAATTCAATTTAGCAGTAATTTATGCTAGCTGGCGCCCTCCTACGAACGACAATCCTCAGAAGTCGAAACGTGTGCGAGCTAAGTATATACAAAGTTATTACCTTATTACGTCCAATTTCTAGCACGGATCAGACGATACGCGGAGAAAATCGATCATCCGGCATAGGACTCGAAACACCGTTCCACATAGCGGTCGAATGAATGACTAAATCGAACCACTCACGCTCACCCAACCGGCTACCGGTTGCAAGAATAGCGATCGTTCAAAAGTACAGAAAAATCCCAAATATTATGGCTCATTATATTATTGTTGATTTATTTCAACTTTCCCGAATCGAATTATAACATTTGGTAAAAGTATTGGTTTCAATAAAAAAGTATATTCAGTACATTTATTGGTGAGCTGAAAGAACGAGAAAAAAACCTATTTAGTTCAATCTAATCTAATTTGAATGTGGTGGAAGCAATAATTTTTTTGAAAATAATTGTCATTTTACCTGTTCTAGCACACCAAGAGAACAAGTTAGATATTCGGGGGATGATATCAAGAACGAATAAAAGGAAAGAGTTAGCACTGATGTTAGCCACCCGCATACATGGGAAAACATTGGAGGGCATGAAACCATGTATTATGTATACAAAATGGTGGTTAGCCCGTTTGAGAATAACGGGCGCAATGAGAATGGCACATTTTTTGATAATGGTTGAAGCAAGAGTGGGCCAATTCAGAATGTAAAATTAACGGGAGCTATAAGGGCAATATTGAAACATTAAACAAGTTCTTAGACCAAGAGGTAATGAAATTCACTTTTGACACTTCATGTTTAAAGTCATGAACTGCAAAGAGTGGAAGATGAACAGTCATCCAGGAAAACAATTATTGGCAGCACCTGGCATTCACAAAAGTTGAAAACTGAACATGGGATGGGAGCTAAAATATACTCAGTAGGTAGAAATTTACATTACAGCTATTTGCTGGGTCAATACACATCCGTCTTCCGAACGGAAGTGTATGCAATCTAACAATCCACAAGAAATAATAATTTGAAACCTCAAAGAAATGAGAGGTTCAAAAAATAGTCTTCCTGACAGCCAGGATATCGACCTTGATATAACCAAAGTTCATATCGAGACTGGTCTGGAAATGCCATGAAAAATAGAACAAACCAGTAATAGATAGGACTGTATATTGGGTGCCAGGATTCTGAGGAATCACCAGCAACCAAGGAGCTGATGAGTGTGCTAGATACCAAAGAGCTAATGAGTGTGCTAAATACCAAAGAGCTAATGAGTGTGCTAGATATGAATCAGTAACAAGGACGGTAGCCGGTCGGGTAGACGTGGATGCTTTGCTCCATTCACTCAATCGACCGCTGTGTGAATCGGTGGTCCAAGCCGTAGGCCGGACGATTGATTTTTACTTGCTATCGTCCAACCCGTGTTAGGAATCACAAGTTAAAAGGTAAGACCTCGTTAGTCCTTAGCTCGCACAAGTTTCGACTTTTGAGAGTTGTCGTTCGTAGGACCTAAACTAGATGAGGTACCAAAATAATTGATACAAGATCAACCTAGGAGATGAAAATTCTGTTTGAAATGTTTCCCTAATGTTGAAACAAAACGATCCATTCTACCTAGATAAATTGCATTCAGTTCGTTCATAACCTTCATGGAAAAATTTGGAAGGCACCGTTTTGTAACATTTTTGTCAATCTCATTTTGGTTTTCATTCAGTAAGTGGTGTGATTGCATCTTGCAATATTTGAACTTGAAGAGGCTTGTTTGAGTTTCCAAAAAAAAGTAGGGTTCCATCACTCCAGTGAATTTTGAGTGTATACACAAATAACGATTTTTTTTTTAATTCAATTGTATGTCTGGATCATCTTTCACCTACTTATGAACAATTTTCATTGTGTATAGATGAAACAAGGTTTCAAAAATTTCTGGTAAATTTGAAATATCACATTTCGTTTATTTGTTAGCTATTGGCGACTAATAAGATATGAAAAGCACCGTGGATTAGTATCTCTAAATAGGCAGAAAATTGCCTATTTGCACCGTCACTTAGCAAAAGATTTAAAAATGTATATTGAGAATGATGGCTATACAGGCTAGGAAGATGTGGTCTAGTGCAGAAACTGGATCTACATGTTGAAATGTGTTGACTGTTGATGATCATTTACAATTTTTACAAATGAAATTCAACGAAAAAAAAATTGAATCTTAAGTACCACTTAAATTAACGGGCTCAATGTTTTGAAATTTTTCGAATAAATTAAAGTAACCACAAAAGTGAAATAAATATGTGATAAAGTTTAGATGGAAATAGAAATAAATGAGTAATATCTCGTTTGGATTTTTTTCTAGAGCGCTCCAAATTGGGAGAGTCGTCGAATTTGTATGCCATCATGAATCTGTCAACTTATTTCTTTTACATTAAATTTTGATAAAAAACATATCATCAGAACATCAAGGTACCACTTTGAATTGCTGGCATTAGTATCATAAAATGTAAATTGTTGCTTCTGTCTTGAGTATGTAGTGTAACGATTAATTTATTTGTAACATAATTATTTGAATGAATATTTAAAATATTATTTATCAGGAAACAAAAAAAAATCAAGATAATGAACTTTTTTTATATCATTTTTATAGGTCCGTAGACTAAGATCAACAGTATACTTCATGGATCGAGATTTGGAAGACAAGGGTAACGTCCTAAAAATTGATCAACACAACAGCGCTCTGACAAATACCAGTTTGAATCTGAGCATATACCACGGTATGACTCCATTAGATCCTGCTAATATAACCCTTCAGGAATGGGAACAGTTCACCAATCAAAACATCGAGAAGGCCGCGAAAGAAATCAACAGCGCCCGACAGCTTCGATCCTACGTGGATATTTTACTTAAACAAGTCTTCGAAGATCTAACCGCCCAATTCCACAGCGTCAATAACGCTTTCCGTTACAGAATAGAAGAGCTCAAAGAAGCGAAAACAAAAATGGAAATACAACATTCGGAAATTGTAAGACAAGCAAATGAAATGACAAGAACAATGACGCGTTTGAAAAAGGCGATTAGCGAAAAGGAAGGATACATGGCCTTGGCGCACACCAGACTCGGAAATAGAGCTCAAAGGCCAGGAGTAGAATTATGTAAAGATTTGGTAGAGATTTCACTAGTGAACGAGGTTGCAGAAATGAGAGAAAATCTTGCAATATTACAACTGAAGTTAGCCGAGGCACAAGCTTCCCTGAGATACTTATTAAAAACACAAATACAGCTAGAAGAAGATATTAATGTGAAGACGAATTCCTTAAAAATTGATGAAGTGGACTGTATGACTTTAAGACAAATTATGGATTACCATAATTATTAAATAAACAAGTACTGGCTTCGAATGTTTGTTTGTACCAGAACTTCATTATTTTCAATAAACAGATATAGGTAATATTAGCATCCTCAGATTAAGGCACCTTTGAAATAATGAAAAAGTAATTCGGTTTCTTCCCCCTGAAAAGTTTTTCGGATTTAGAAATTCTTGTTCTTTCATTTATTTTATTCAACTATATGATTTTTTCACTTTGAATGCTATACAGTTCACAAATTGGACGGACGATCATCTTTGTGGCAGTACAGTTTGTAAACACTTTGATTCAATTAAAGTTTTTTCTGTAATTCCTCAGAGAACCCTCTGGTTTAAAAAATTACTTTCAATCTGTTTATAAATGTTATTTGATTCAACTTTCACTACTACAAATACCTATTTTTTACAGGTAATATAAAATTATATTATTTCGTGAATTCCATTGATAACTCAGAAAATTAAGATATGAAGACATCAATATATGAAAATTAGTGTGTTTCTGTAACACAAGTACATATGTACAAAATGCTGCAATTATTTCAAGCATATCGCCCTAGGACCCTGAATAGCATAAATACACCACACACAGAAGTGGTCTCTTGAGTACACTTCATTTAATTAACTCAGATAAAAGCATATGATAGAAACTAAATTCCAGTCTGAATCCCAAATATTTTGAGGAAATATTTAAGAACGCTTTTCTTTTCAAAATAACCAGCATGTGTAGGGTTACACTATGCTGACGGAGAACAACATGCTAGATAAATATGTGTCCTTGGTTGACATTTCATTTCAATGAATACAATAATTATATTTCTCAATATAAAAGTCGAATTCTTGCTACTTGGAAAATTCAGAGTACAATAGATTTCAAATGACGACCAGTTTCACCTATAATTTTCCAGATTCACATTGTATTGGAATATTGAAATATTTTAATAAATCATCCACAATATATCTATCTGCCTCTGATATTTTTAATTATACAGGCTGATTCACGGTGGATGGCACATTAGACGTTTCTGGTGAACCAGACAACGGATCACTTTGAAAATTTAATGGAGGGCATATTCGGACATTCTCTAGCCAACTAAAATATTTTCGACAATGCGGTGTTGCCGC